AGTAATTGTTGATAGGTATGTAGTTATTGCCATTTTATTCATATTTTTTGTTTTTCTTTTTTTGTTTTGTCTTAAAGAAGTCCCTGTAGGATTCTATGTAATACTGGTTTGGTGGTGATGAACTCCTTTAGCTTTTTCTTCTCTGGGAAGCTGTTTATCTGTCCTTTGATTCTAATGATAGCTTTTCTGGGTAGAGTAATCTTGGTTTTAGGTCCTTGCTTTTCACCATACTGCATATTTCCTGCCAACCCCTTGTGGTCTGCAAAGTTTCTGTTGAGAAATCAGCTGACAATCTTGTGGGAGCTCCTTTATAGATAGCTAACTGCTTTTCTGTTACTGCTTTTAGGATTCTCTTTTTGTCTTTAATCTTTGACATTTTAATTATGATGTGTCTTGCTGTGGGCCTCTTTGGGTTAATCTTGTTTGGAATTTCGGCACGTCTTGGGCTTGTGTATCTATTATGTTCACTGAGTTAGGGGAGTTTTCCATCATTATTTCTTCAAATAGGTTTTCAGTTCTTTGCTCTCTCTCTTCTCTTTCTGGTACCCTTATAATGTGAATGTTGGTATGCTTGATGTTGTCCCAGAGGGCCCTTACACTGTCCTCATTTTTTTGGGTTTTTTTTTGTTTGTTTTTTGGCTGTTCTGATTGGGTGTTTTCTACCTATCTTCTAAAATGCTGATTTTATCCTCTGCTTCATCTAATCTACTCTTTTTTAAAAAGTTTTATTGGGGAATCGGGGAAGGGAACAGTGTTGGGGAACTGGGGAAGGGGAACATTATGTTTTTCCAGGACCTATCAGCTCCAAGTCAAGTTGTTGTCCTTCAATCTTAGTTATGGAGGCCGCAAGCTCAGTCACCACTTTCAATCTGGTTGTGTGTGGGTGGGTGGGCGGAGCCCACCATCCCATGTGGGAGTCGAACTGGCAACCTTGTTATTAAGAGCATGTGCTCTCACCAGCTGAGCCATCTGCTGCCTGTTGGCAGCTCAGCTTGGGTGCAGCTCACTGGCCAATGTGGGAATTGAACCAGCAACCCTGTTGCTCAGAGCTCATGCTCTAACCAGCTGAGCCACCCAGCCAGCCCCATCTAATCTACTCTTGATTACCTGTAATGTATTCTTCATTTCCGTTATTCTTTATTTCTGACTGATTCTTTTTGTTTTCTATCTGTCTCCATTTTTATGTTTCCTATCTCTTTGTTGAAGTTCTCCCTGATATCATTGAGCATCTTTATAACCAGTGTTTGGAACTCTGTGTTTGCTGGACTGCTTGTCTCCATTTTGTTTAGTTTTTTTTTCTGGAGCTTAGTTGTGTTCTTTTATTTGGGATACCTTTTTTTGTCTCCCCATTTTGGCTGCCTCTCTGTGTTTGTTCCTATGTCTTAGGTAGGGTTGCTATGTCTCCTTGTCTTAGTAAAGTGGCCTACTGCAGTAGGTGTGCTGTGGGACTTAGTGGCACAGTCTTCCATGTCATCTGAGCTGTGTACTCCAGGTGTGTCCCTTGTGTGGGTTGTGTGTGCCCTCCTGTTGTAGTTGAGCCTTGTTTGCTGTTTGCATGTCAGTGGGAGGGATTGACCCTTTGATTTATTGGTTGTGAGGACTGGCTGTGACCACAGTGGAGGAGCTGT